CCGGGGAGGAGCCCGCCACCGAGGTCCGTGTCCTTAACCGGAATCGAACCCAGGACCCTTTGGTCCACAGGCCGATGCACCATCCACTGAGCCACACCGGCCAGGGCTGGGAGCGCATAGCAAACGAACTTGGGCGGCCCCCTCGGAACGGGGCGAGGGGCCCCGCCAACCCGGGCCCTGAGCGGGCGGTGGCGCCCCCAGGCCCACCTGTCGCAGGTGACGCGGATGCGCTCGTCGCTGGACGACTGCTGCTCGTCCTCCTTCTCCTGGAAGTGCTCCTGCACGCACTGCGCCTCGAACTCGTGCAGCCGCTTCAGCTCCTCCTCGCTGAGGAACAGCTCTGCGGGGGCAGGCGTGGTTTGTTTCAATATGTTCGTATTGATTTCAGAGAGAGAGAGAAACATCCATGAGCAGAGAGAATCACGGATCGGCCGCCTCCTGCACACCCCCCACTGGGGATGGAGCCCGCCACCCGGGCCTGTGCCCTGACTGGGGCTCGAACCCTGACCTCCTGGCTCCTAGGTTGATGCTCAGCCACGGAGCCCCGCCGGCCGCGGGGGGTGTACGTGGGCCGTTAGGAAGGCGGGGCACCTACTCAGTCCGCGGTCCTGCTCCTCCTGGTCCGCTTCTCGCTTCTTCCTGCAGCGGCCGCTGAGCCGCGTGGCGATGATGTAGACGTGGCTCAGAACGATCATGGGCGGGGGCAGGACCGGCCGGTCGTGGAAGGTCATGATGAGCTGGTACCGCTGGAACTTCCACACCTGGTTGGAGATGGACTTCACCTCGAAGAAGGTGTTGCTTTAAAACAGAACACGCTTCCCGTTAGTCGTGGGCTAGGATTGCCTCTGTGATTTTTCCAGAGCGATTGGAGTTACCATGAAATGACAAGACTCGGTGAGCTGGCCCCGGCCGGCGTGGCTCAGTGGATAGAGCGTCGGCCTGCGGACCCAAGGGTCCCGGGTTCGATTCCGGTCAAGGGCACGGACCTCGGTGGCAGGCTCCTCCCCGGCCCGGGCCCTGGTCAGGGCTCGTGCGGGAGGCGACCCATCGATAAGTCTCTCCTACATCAATGTTTCTCTCTGTCTTTCCCTCTCTCTTCCTCTCTCTCTAAAAATCAATGGGAAAATAATATCCCCAGGTGAGGATTAAAAACAAAAACAAAAAAATCCCACCCTTTCCCAAGCCCTAGTGAAATTCCGTGCGAGTGCGCGGCAGCAGGGAGAGTTCTGGGACGAAACGGGAAACCTGCAGAGGGCTAAGGACCGCGCACACGCTCGTCCGCGGGACACGCACTTGAACACGGCGATGAGCAGGTTGACCAGCAGGATGTTGGCCACCAGCAGGTAGCAGGCCATGATGGCCGGGGTCAGCCAGGCGCCCGGGATGCAGGGCGGGAGGCGCCGGCCCTCCTCATCGTACTGGTTGTCGCCGCAAGGAGCTGCAATGGGAGCCGGTCGGTCAGTCTGCGCTCGCTCTGACGCAGCGTGAAAAGAATAACTCACAGGGGCTATGACGGGACCCATGTCCTCTTTAATACGATTTCTTCTGCTGTGAACAATAGCAGCTCCTATCGAGGAGGTAAGGGCCCGGCCGGCGTGGCTCAGAGGGTGAGCAGGAAGAAGGCCCCCCGCCCCTGGCAGAGTCATAAATTCTGTGTAAACTTACGATTAATTTCCATGGCGTAGACTACACAGCGATTGAGGAGAGAAAACAAGATGGCAGTTGAGAGAAAAGTAACAGGATCGACAACACAAGACATGCAAAGTCTTCATGCTCGGGGGTTACAGGTTCACGCTTGGAGACGGTGGTCTATTTAGAAGAATTGTCCGCACTAATAATTCTAGGGAATGTATGTTTATACACACACACACACATATGTATATATATGTATGTGTACGTGTGTGTATTTCATGCATATTTACTGTATCACGTGTCGTAAGCAGCAGCCCAAGCTCAGTTAAAAATTCTGCGAGGAAGCCAGGAGGCTGCTGGCGGATGATCCTCTTAGCGTGCAGGTTGGCCCACCAGGCACCCACAGTACCCCAACCCAAACACCTCGTCGGCACGAGTAAACACAAAGTAAGTACATAGTCATCAGGTCAAGAAGCAAAAACCTAGCCCGGCCGGTGTGGCTCAGTGGTTGAGCGTCAACCCATGAACCAGGAGGTCAGGGTTCGATTCCCGGTCAGGGCACAGGCCCAGGTTGCGGGCTCCATCCCCAGTGTGGGGTGTGCAGGAGGCAGCCATGATTCTCTCATCGTTGATGTTTCTCTCTCTCTCTCTCTCCCTCTCCCTTCCTCTCTCTGAAAACAGTGTAGCTTCCAGTTTACCTCTACCTTCTCCCAGGACCCAAATTTAATTTTTTAAACACCAATAACAACATTACAACTTAGGCCTGGGTCCAGGAACTTTTAGCATTTATGTTTACTGTTCTATTGTATGTTTACCTAGCTAGTATTCTTTGGAACCAAATTAGATTTTTTTGTTCTGCCTTACCAGTAATGGGCTTTGAGATAGTTGTGACAATAACACGTTCTGAATCATGTGATAAAAGCTAGACAGAGCCCTGGCCAGTATGGCTCACTGTGTAGAGCATCGGCCTATGGACTGGAGGGTCCCGGGTTCGATTCCGGTCAAGGGCACATGCAGGAGGCAGCCAATCGATGTGTCTCTCTCACACCAATGTCTCCCTCTCCCTCCCTCTCTCTCTCTGTCTCTCTTCCCCCCCACCCCCCAGCTCCTTCCACTCTCTAAAAATCAATGGGAAAATATCCTCGGGTGAGGATTAACAACATCAACAAAATCTCCATTTGGCCACCGGCACTCACTCCATAAAAGTCATGTGACGTCCGTGGCAGGACAGAGAACACCTCTACCCCACAGGGCGCACATGCTCTCCCCTCCGTGCACGGGGCCCTGTCAGCTGCCTGGGAGCAGGGAAGCACGCCTTACTATGAATTCTAGTCTTACGGTCGGTCTGGTCCGCAAACACCTCCCCGTAGATCATCCAGTACGGCATGTAGAAGATGTTCCGGGCCAGCCGCCAGGAGGGCTCCTCGTCCGGGTGCAGGATGGCCTGGCGGGCCACGCCGAAGCTCATCAGCACAACCAGCATGATGACCACGAAGTACAGCATGTCAATCATCTGTCCGTCCAAGGGAATGGGTCTCTGATGGTCTCAAGTTCACACGGTCCCTGATATTGCTCAACCCAAAGACTTCGTCAGTGCTCCACAGAACAAAGAAAGCCTCTTCGCCCGGCCAGCGTGGCTCAGTGGTTTAGCATTGACCCATGAACCAGGAGGTCAGGGTTCGATTCCCAGTCAGGGCACAGGCCCGGGTTGTGGGTTCCATCCCCAGTAGAGGGCGTGCGGGAGGCAGCCGCTCAATGATTCTTTCTCATCATTGGTGTTTCTATCTCTCTCTCCCTCCCCTTCCTTTCTGAAATCAATAACAATAATTTTTTTTTTTTTAAAAAAAGGAGAGCGCTAGTCAGTTTGGCTCAGTGGATAGAGCATAGGCCCATGGACTGAAGGGTCCCAGGTTCGATTCTGGTCAAGAGCATGTACCTCGGTTGCAGGCTCAGTCCCCGGCCCTGGACGGGGCATGTGCAGGAGGCAACCAATGGATGTGTTTCTCTCAAGTCCATGTATCTCTCTGTCTCTCCCCCTCCCTTCCACTCTCTAAAAACCCATGGGAGAAGGAGGAAGCGGAAGGAGGAAGAAGAAGAAGAAAAAGGAGGAGGTGGAGGAGAAGAAGGAGAAAGAAGAGAAAGCCAACTACAAAGGAAAGACCAAATGAAATGAAACGAAGCCAGGCGCAAGGCCCGGCCCCGTGTGCTAACCGCAGCCGCGGCGCCTGCAGGGACCCCGGGCCTCGGTGCTCACCATCTTCCCGATCATCATCACGTAGGGCCCCAGGTACTTGTTGACCCCGAAGATGTCGAGGACGCGGATGTACCAGAAGATGATGTCCACGCAGTAGATGACCCGGCCGTAGCCCATGTACGGCTGCCTCTGCAGGCGCAGGACGGCCCCGACCAGGAACACGGCAATGGCCACGAGGTCCGTGATATTCCAGTACTCCTGGAGCCACACCTTCACCTTCTGGCTGAGTTTGCCGGGTTCCGACATGAGGATCTGAAAACGAGCGCCCCGGAGCCATGAGTGGGGAGTGCCGTCTGGGAGGCCGCGTCTTCTATGAACCTGAGGCCCACGGGAGCGCTGGGACATCCCAGGGGACACGCTCCCTTTCCCGCTCAGGGCCTCCAACACCCGTCCTCTCAGGCGGGCAGAGGGCTCCAGAAGCAGCCGGCCAGCGCGGCTCCGTGGTTGAGCATCGACCTAGGAACCAGGAGGTCAGGGTGCAATTCCCGGTCAGGCACATGCCCGGGGTTGTGGGCTCGATCCCCAGTGTGGGGTGTGCAGGAGGCAGCCGATCCATGGTTCTCTCATCATGGATGTCTCTCTCTCTCTCTCTCCCTCCCTCTCCCTTCTTCTCTGAAGTCAATAAAAATATATTAAAAAAATAAAAAGATCTCTAGGAAGGGAAATTCCACGGAGTCCTCTGCTGTTCCTCGATCCGTGTTTCGCAAGCTCCCAGGAAATGCCTTGGGAATGAAGCCCTCCGCTGCAGTGAGGGCAGCTGCCCCTTGATGTCGTCCTCCTTCCCTGGACGGGCGCCTGTGAGCGGACGTTCCAGGAGGGAAATCTGGAGCGGGGATGGGCCGCGTGGTCCCAGGGAAGCGCAGGCCACCCCGTGGGGAGGGCAGAGCCGGGGGCGGGGATGTCCAGCTGCCAGGACTCCTCTTTGCAACTTAGATGGGGGAAGGCAGGGGCGAGTGAAGCTTGATTTCCTCCAACACGAGCTCTTAGCCTTTGAAAAATTGCCGATTAAAAAGATCACTACTTCAGCCCGGCCAGCATGGCTCAGTGGTTGAGCGTCCACCTATGAACCAGGAGGTCACAGGTGGATTCCCCGTCAGGACACATGCCTGGGTTGTGGGCTCTGTCCCTATGAGGGCACAGGCCTGGGTTGTGGGCTCCATCCCTCTGGTGGGGCATGCAGGAGGCAGGCAATCCATGATTCTCATCATCGATGTTCCTCTCTCTCTCCCTCTCCCTTCCTCTCTGAAGTCAATATAAATATATATATATATTAGGAGGAAGAAAGAGAAAGCAAGGAAAGAAGGAAGGAAGGAAGGAAGGAAGGAAGGAAGGAAGGAAGGAAGGAAGGAAGGGAGGGAGGAAACTGGTTTAAAAAAGTAAAGAAATTGCATGTGAGCTGCCCTGGGTGGACGTGGGCTGGGCGGCCACTATATATGTATGTATGTATGTATGTATATGTATGTATTTATTAAGAGAAAGAAAGAGAAAGGAAGGAAAGAAGGAAGGAAGAAAACTGGTTTAAAAAAATAAAGAAATTGCGTGTGAGCTGCCATGGGTGGACATGGGCCTGGCGGCCATGGGAGCACTTGCCTCGCGGACCTTCTCCAGGGCCAGGGTCACGATGTAGGCGATGACGACCCACTCCTGCAGGCAGGGCCAGCGCTCCATGCGCACCAGGATGATGTAGTTGAACAGCAGCAGGTAGCCCAGGTACGAGATCTGAGAGACGGGAGGCCCGTGAGCCGCAGCCAGGCCAGGGGGAGCCCGCTCCTGAAGGACCCCTGTTCTCACACGGGGGTCGGGCCGGGCCCTGCCCGGGCATTAGGGGTGAGTTCATGCAATGGTTGACCAAACAGAGCAGGCTAATTTTTTTTTAAATGTCTTATTGATTTCAGAGAGAAACATCCATGAGGAGAGAGAATCATGGATCAGCTGCCTCCTGCACACCCCCCACTGGGGATGGAGCCCACAACCCGGGCCTGTGTCCTGATCGGGAATCGAACCCTGACCTCCTGGTTCATATGTCGCCGCTCAACCACTGAGCCACACAGGCCAGACTCTTTTTTAAAAATTAAGGGTTTTTTTTGAGGTCACATGAGTTGATAACATGATGTGAATTTCAGGCGCATGTTCTATCCTGTTCTCGCCACCCGACACCTAGTCTCCTCCCGGCCTTGACATTGTCCTGGATTCTCGGACATCTCGCTGTTCCCAACAGGCCAGGGGGCAGACCTGCGGGCGGGGGTGGGGGGGCGCACCGTGTAAAACCAGAACTTGACGATGGGCGCGTTGTAGAACTCGCAGATCTTGGTCCCGACGGGGAGCCTCCTCAGCTTGCTGTGCTCGCTCTCCTCGTCCCCCTTTCTGGAGCCCGCGAATCATCCTCAAAGCGGCCCCAGGGGCTGCCGTTTCCAAATTCGTGGGAGGGGAATGGGGATGACGGTGCAAATGCGAGCAAACCGGCCTCGTGCGGCCCGGGCGACACTGACCACGCTCTCGTCCTCCTTTTCTTTGCCGTCTTCATTCTCCTTGGACGTTTGGTAAGAGAAGTCGTCGTAGGCGCGGAATTCCAGGAGCAAGATGGTGGGCGGCAGGAGGATGCCCATTATAACCTGCGGGCGGGGAGAGACGGGGAGGTCTACGCGATGGCGCGGGGGCGGTGCCCACCGAGCGTTAGGCAGGTGAGTGGACAGGGCCCCAGCCTGCCACACGCTGGCAAGACAGTTGGATGGAAAGAAGGAAAGACACCCCCACTCCCCCACCCCCTCCCTCGCCCTGTGGGAAGCCAGGGCTTGAGCAGAAAGGGGAGGTGGTGTCTGAGATGGGAGTCGGCCATCCTCCCAGGCCGTGGCACCTGAATAAACCTCTTTCCTTCAGCCCGGCCGGCTGGTGTGGCTCAGGGGTGGAGCATCGACCTGTGAACCCGGAGGTCCGGGTTCGATTCTCGGTCAGGGCACAGGCCCAGGTTGCGGGCTCCATCCCCAGTGTGGGGCGTGCAGGAGGCAGCCGATCCGGGATTCTCTCTCATCATGGATGTTTCTCTCTCCCTCTCTCTCTCCCTTCCTCTCTGACATCAATTCTAAAGTTTTTTCTTTTTAATATTTTTTTAAAATCCACAGTGAGCGCTTCGCTCCGCCCGGCAGAGAGCTCAGGTCCACACGCGTCCCCCCCCCCACCACCACATCCCACGCGCCTTCAGGCCGGGGTTCTTGCGCATGCGCAGCCGGCCCATCCACATGTCGGTGAGCAGCATCTGGCTGCAGGTGTGCGCGATGAAGTCCCGGTGCTTGGCCGCCACGGCCAGCTGGAGGCAGGTCGAGTTGCTCCAGTTCTTCAGCTCGTAGGTGAGCAGCTTCATGGCCACCTGCTCGTCGTGCCGGTAGGACTGGTCCAGCAGCTCCACGGCCAGCTGCCCGAAGTCCCTGGACGGGAAGGCAGGAAATCGGGCGCCGGGGGCGTGGGTCAGG